CGTAAAAAAGACGTGACTGGAACGTCATCTGGTTGCCTGGGTGTTGCTATGGGTACGTTCCGTTGCCAACAGTTATCACCACATGTTTCCTGGTATTTCTTTCGAAATCGTGCGGAAAAGTGAAAATATTGCTGAAAAGTAAAATCGTACGGAAAAGTACAACTTTCAGAACGGAAAAATCATGCGGAAAATTCACTTTACCGCACGCTCGTAGGAAAATTTAGTTACACTACCTTCAATAATAAAAAAGTTATTGGGGTGAGCCACACGTTGCAGAATCACCCGCTATAATCTCCAAAATTTCAAATTCCAATATCTACCTTCTTTCCCCATCCTCTCAAGGTATGCAGGATGGTTTTCGAACTCAATAAGGATTCCATTCCGTGCGCTTCAAAAGATGAAAAAAAACCTAATGAAATATTATTGAATATTCTTCCATCTGCGAGGATTACAAAATCTGAACGTGGGACTCTCTAGATTCTCAATCCTATTATATATTTTTCTTTAATTAGGTATAGTACGTATGGAAAAATATAATTAATTTTATCCGAGAGGAAATTGCAATGTTACATTTAATATAGGACTCTTTTGGGATTTTGTGAGATGGAAGCCCGTCTAAACAGACAAAAATACTTCAAAAGAATTAGTCTCACTCGTGGAAAATTGCAACGCTTTTTAATTAGGTACGGACAAAGGTGTTTAAATATTGATGAATTTTCGGTGAATCTTCCGGAAAACTGGTATATAGGGAGTGCTGGTGTTACATACCTGATTTAGAAAAAGAATGGGAATGTCCTTCGTAGGGATGTGTGTCCTCGTTGTCCCTAGTCGAAAACCACGTTTTCCAGCCACATATAACTGATTTGAAGTATTTCCGAAACCTGTCGAAGTACAAAATAATCATGATCATTGCGATGTATTAGTAGTGAGTTGGTAGTATGATAGTAGTAAGAATACAGGTTGCTGAGAGATATTTACACAAGACACTTTCTCGATTGTTTTGAATATTGCTTCTGGAAATCAGTTGATTCCGAAAAATATCAATTTTATTAAAACACAACAATCATGACCAAAATGAGAATTATAGTAGAAAGCAGAAGAAACCAGGCCCTGATGAGACTACAGCAGAATATGTCGAGGCTAGAGGCATATTCAATGAGACAATTCGATCATCAAAGGATGCTCATAATGCCAAAATAAGATCAGAACTTGTTGTATGTCCTAATGGATCCCGTTCATTTTGGCTCTATACGCACAAGCTGCAGGAAGAAACTTCACTTCCAGCTCGCTTCCTCCTCTAACCAAGGAAGATGGAACACACACAAAATTTTACTCTGAATTAATCGGGAAAACAACCTCCGAACATAACGCCAATTGACAGTCATATGCCCGAGATCACTTTTTGCCAACGTACTATAAGGAAGATTTTATTGGGTCTCACCAACAAAGCTTATAGCTCCGACGGAATCCCACCGATTGTTTTCAAGAAATATGCTCCCGTCCTAACACCTGTTCTCTGCGAGATGTTGAACTGATCTAACGAATTGCGGATATTCCCGTCCAACTAGGAAATTGCAAACAACCAGTTCCTAAAAAAGGCAAAAAGACCCTACCTAGCAACTACAGACCGATCGCTCTGCTATCTATTATTTCGAAGATCATGGAGGTGAAAGCTATCAACATCGAGCTCATGGAATACCTGGAACATTCAGGTATTATCAACGATAGGCAATATGGCTTTCGTCATCAGAGATCAACAGGTGACCTGCTCGCTTACGTCTAACATATATGGCAGCAATCTATTGGAAAATATGGTGAAACCTTAGCCGTGGCACTTGATATCTCGGCATTCGATCGAGTCTGGCACCACGGACTCCTCGCCAAGCTTACATCTTATGAATTGCCTCCCCAGCTATGTTCTCTGCTAGCTAGTTCTTTCTCAAACAGGTCTCTCCATGTAGTGGTCGACGGAGTTTCATCTGACTCTCTGATCATAAATGCTGGTGTTCCGCAAGGATCCATTCTAGCACCAACA